GGATTCTGTTGGACTCGGGTGTGATGGCGGGGCCCGGGGAGGGTGGGAGGCGCCGCGGCCTGAAAGAGTGTGTGTGTGTGTGTGTGTGTGTGTGTGTGTGCGCGCGCGCGCAGATCCATACATACAGGGACACCTCCCCCACATGCACACACAAAGAGCTACACCTCTCTTGCCCATAGGACAAAAAACCCAAGCTTTTGTGAACTGTGACCACCCAACCAGGAAAAACAAGTTTTTGTGACCTGTGCTTCCAAAGAGAAAGTGACCCTTTATGACGTGTACACACTCACTCACTCTTTTTCCTGAGCTACACTCCCCCCCTCCCCCAAGCTTTTGTGAACTACACCTGCATGTGCACACCCCAACACATACAGAAGGAAAACAAACTTTTGTGACCTTAAGTTCTCTTCATCTGAAGCCAGGCCTTGCAGTTCTGGAGCTGAGGCCAGAGCTGTTTTTTGGCTGCAACAGTGTTTCTCAGCCAGGGTGTCCTGACACCATGAGTTGTCTTGAGACTCTCTCAAGTGTGGTGCAGTGGGGTGCCATGCTGTGTTAGCGTTGCATTGTGAATATGAGTCACAAGATAATCCTAGAGATTTGAAATAGGAATCCATAGTGTCAAATGCATTCTTGCCTGTTGTGGTCTTTTTGAGCTCTTGGCAATACAAGAGCTACTCTATTAGTGTTCTGCACTTGGAAACCAAGTGAACACTAATAGCTGGTATTTTCCCAGTCTATTAAGGGGTGCCTCAAATGTAAAAAGATTTAGAATTGCTCAGCTATAGAGTTTTACATAACTGGTTGTAGCTCTGTTTCCCTCTTGGCAGCTTGGCATCCAGGTTTGAGAGATCACATTTGATAATCAAGGAGTATAAATTTAGGTACCCAAACTAGAATTTGGAACCAAGCCCCTATCTAACCTAGTCATATCATCTGAAGAGCAATTCAGCCCTTGGTATTAATTTATTGTGCAGCCAAACAGTTTTACACTGCAAAATTATACTGTTAGTGTACTTCTGACAATACTTCTGAGCAACGCGCTTTGGAGCAAAGGTGATTTTCATCAGTTTATGAAAATTATTATGTCATGGTTGCCAGTGATAACAGGCCACTGGACTCACAGGGTGCTCCCATTCCTATGTTTTGTGTAATTCCAGGTAGCTGTTTAGCATCTCTAACTATAAATTCCTGTTTGTAAATCTTATTAGGCTGTCTGCCACAGCAATGGTATGCACTGCTGCAGGATATATGAGTTGTATATTGCATAAGGGATTTTTTTTTCCAAACAGGGAAATTTTTTTTCCCTGTTTATTTCTCCACGTGGGAGGGAAATGATTTTAGACTTCAGAGCCAAGAAGCATAATAAGAAAACTTCATTGTGAGAGGCAAACCTATTAAGTTTTGCCTGAAATAGAGAGGAAGATTATGTTCCCTGAAGTTAATCTCAGTGATCCCTCATTGCAATGAATATTTTTCTGTGCATTTATATCAAGAGGAAAACTTCGCATGATTGTACATGGCTAAACGGTGGGATTTCTTTTTCATGTTTACTTTCATCAGGCTTTCTCTTGAAGGATGAAGACTTACAGAGCATAAAGATACGCATTTATATTCTTCCTGATACCTGGATTTTAATGACAACTCCTGAGGTTTGAGTCACTAGTTACCAGTTTCAGTTTTAAGATAATAATAATAAAAGATTTTTTTTGACCTACTGTCTCATAACTTGCACCCCCCCCCAATAACCAGATGGGGAAAATTGGGGTACTTATTACATGTGAGGAAAGGGGATCTCCACAGGTGCTCTGGGAGTTGTCGGCAGTTAATGCTGCCACTGCTCCCTCCCCCTTCCCTGAAGTTTCCAGGCCTGGGGGGAGTTTCCATCCCCTAATGTGCACTGGATTGGGTTGGTGAGCAGTGTTGGTATGTGGCCATACTTGGTGTGCAGGGTGCAACCTGGCACATGGTCCTGGACCTGGTTTGCCAAGTCTGGCTTCATGTGCTGGCTCTGGAGCCCTTTGTTGGGTTGGTCCCAATGTACAAAGTCTAGGACCACATGCCACATCTAGAGCTATGTGGTCTGGCTCCAGAGCTGTGTGCTGGGTCCAACCCTGTATGCTGCTTCTGGGGCTATATGCCAAGCCTGGGACTGTGTGCTGGCTCTGGAGCCATGCACCAGGTCTTACTCCATGCATTGCTGCCTACCTATGCTGAGCCAGGGACCAGCTGGCTCTGGAGCCCTGTGCTGGGCCTGACCCATACTCTGCTCCTGGTCTTAGGCTTGGCCCATGGCCCCTGGCAGCAGTGCACGGGTTCAGACCCAGCACATGGCTTCAGAGCGATTGTGTAGCTCCAGACGCAGTGTGCAGTCCTGGACTTGGTGCACTCGGTCTGACCCAGCACATAGCTCTGAGGCCAGTATATGGGGTCAGACTTGGTATGCAGCCCTGGATCTGGCACGCTGGATGGGTCTGTGGGCCTAATTGGTGTGCAGGGCTGGCAGCAGGCTTGGGTCCCTAGTTGTTTCTGCCACTCAGTTACCCTGAATAAAGATTTTTTTCCTTCAGACTCCCCTTCCCTTCAAAATCAAGATGTGTACTATATATAAGGGTGTGCTGTCTGCCATAAAATATGCTATTTGGAACATTTAAATGCAGGTCGGGTATAAAAACATAAGCCCAAAATAAACAAAAAGGACAACATAAAGAAAAACCATGTATTCATCATGTATCCCAGGTAGCATGTCCTCCTGATCTCATTTTTAAGGCAATGAATTACTGGTACTTGTGCTGCATCAGGTAATTCTGTATTGGCAGAGGAAGAAATTGCTGGTGTGGCGTTCATCTCCTACTTTGACTGTCATGTAACTCGTATTTCTATTGGTAGCATTTTTGACTGAAGAAAATAAGTAAACAACAATCCAGATCAGACTACAATTTGTGAGAGAGATTTCTAGGATAATTTTAAAAAGACAGATGTGCTGTTTTAACACCTTTATTAAATAAAATGGAGGGGGCAAGCCTCAATTCCTTAACTGTATAGAGGCAACATTAGGAATGTTTTCACCTATACATGAAAATTGGTTTAACGTAAACTTCTTTTAGATTATGACAGTGTGTATCCTAGTAGATGATGGGGAAATGTCTCATCATGTAAAGGGAATGGCATTACTTCCTTCGGTGAACAGGCTTTTGTGGTGCTGCACAGGTTTTTCTTAAGTTAGTGTGCGCCCTACAACTCTTCCTTTTTATAACTGAATACAAGTCACAACCGCAACCATGTCTTGAATAAAAAGGGCAACCTTTTTTTTAAATAAAAATTCACAGGTTAAGATGGATTCTCCTTGGTAGGCCTGCCCAGAGGGAAAGGCTGTGGGTTTTTTCCGTTATTCTTCAGAAAATCTATTGCGGAGTTTGAAAAAACAAACTAGAAAATTGGAGGGTCAAGTCTATATCAAGGGTCAGGGGGGAAAGTAGATTGATCTTGTGTATAGTGAGGATGTAGACATACAGTATGTTTACTACAAAGTAAACCAATTCTTCTGAGGAAGTGGAATGGGGGCAGGGTGCACAGCCTTAAGTCAGTCCACTGTGGGGTAAATTTACTCAGAAAGTAAGTTACATTGCTTTACTTCCCAAATGAAATTCATTGTAGGGTAACTGCTCGGTACAGGCCAGCTTTCATGCTATAATTGTACAGGCAACCCCCGCTTCATGGTGTTTTGCTTAGCGCTATTTTGCTATAACACTTTTTTGAAATTGATACCTGATTTCACTTAGTGCTTAGCAAGTTTTGGTATAATGCTTGTGGTTGCCATCTTGGGTCATTCAGAACAATTACGGTCACCATCTTGGGTTGTCAGGTACTTTTGGTTTTGCTTAATGCTTGTTTCACTTAATCCTCGGTTTTTCAGGAACCAGTTAAGAGCGCTAAGGGGGGGTTGCCTGTACCTGCTTCAGGAAATTGGCTTGGGAGGGCTGAACATGTGTCCTCCTGGCGTAAAATCAGCAGTAAATTACTTTGTAGCAATTGTTGCGTGTCTTCACTTTTAGTGAGGCTTTTAAAATTAACTTTATTTTTATCTGTAAATTCTTTGTGTTTTGTTTAGTGTTTACTGTTTTTAAAGCTTACTGATGGAGTTCTGTGGGTTTTTTGGTTTGTTTTTTGCTTTCTGGGATTTTATATGCTTACTTCACTGCTTACCAAATATGACCTTTAGTGTATGTTAAATTTCTTTTTTAGTGCATTCAGTTAGAATGTGCATAAAACTATTAATTATGGTTTAGCTTACAAATTTTCCCTTGTTCTTTCTCTTTCTTTTGTAGGGAATCAGAAACTTGAGAGTGTTGTACTTAGTAAAATGAACTTTGAATCATTTGTGAGAGATCTACTTTTGGTTTGTCACTACAGAGTTGAAGTTTATAAGAATAGGGCGGGCAGCAAATCTACCAAAGAGAATGACTGGTATTTGGCATACAAGGTACGCCTTTCTGTCTCCATTTGTGTTTACAAAGTAGGGAAAATAAGGGTATTTGCTATATTTCCGTTCATTGTTTCAGACTTTCTTACAGTCTTTCAGGTAGCATTAATGTAGGTGGTATGTATCTTGACTTACGTTCCAACACCCCTTGCTTTGTTATAGCATGCTGTGGGGCAGCTCTAGGGCAACTGACTTTAGAGAGAGTAATAGATTTCCACAAGTGCAAATGGCTTGAAAAGTAAAACGGGTGTCCAGTTTATGTACAGGCAGTATATAATCTACTTATTTGTTGAATATTTAGCAAGTTTGTCCATGCACACTTACATTCTTTACATTGCATAGCATAAATCGTAGGCTGACCGTACGGAAAATCACTCTTGCAAGTTGGCAGGGGTGGGGCTGTGTGCCTGCAAGGTGCTCTACCCCACATAGTCTCCTAGTCAGACTATGCCCTGTGCCCCTGCATTCCACGACACCTATTACAATTCTCAACAGCCAGCCAGGACCAGCATCTGAAATCTGGGACTGTCCCAGCTAAAACAGGGCGTATGTTCATGCTAATAAATCCCCATGCTACCTCCTCTACAGTGTTCAATTTAAGAGATAATGCTGACCCTGAAGACTAGACATTGTACATCAGGGCTAATGCTCCTGTGAGAGAAATGGGGGGGGGCAAGCAAGTTTATGCATCTTAAGTGGTATCTTAGTCTGTAGCTTGGGAAACTGAGTGGACATGCATGGCATTAGATACAAACTCACAGCCATATTTCTTGCTTTTATTTCTGTTTTTACTCTAAGACTGAGATGTCTCTAGATCTATGGGTTTTTTTCAGTCCTGTAAAGAATCCCGACTTAATCTACTGTAGTTGAAAGTAGACCAAGAACTCAGGTGTTCTGTAAATGCTTCAGAAGAAATTCTGTCTTCTTTCCTAAGTTTTTTCTTTCTCAAACAGGGCTCCCCGGGTAACCTTGCCCAGTTTGAGGAAATTCTGTTTGGTAATAATGACATGTCAACTGCCATTGGAGTTGTGGGTGTGAAGTTGTCTGCTGCCGAGGGGCAAAGAATAATTGGAGTTGGGTATGTTGACACGACACTGAGAAAGCTGGGTGTCTGCGAGTTTCCGGATAATGACCAGTTCTCAAACCTGGAAGCTTTGCTAGTTCAGACTGGTCCCAAGGAATGTGTGTTTCCTGGAGGGGAGACAGCTGGAGATATGGGAAAAGTGCGACAGGTAAGTGGTATGAATATGTGGACCCACCTGGCTTATGAGAGAGGGAAAAGTTTTGTCGGATTTGTGAATGTTATCACAAACTCAATGTGTCACCAATAACTAAGGCAAGTACAAAATTAGTAACTTGAGAAATTTTTTCTTGGTGTGTATGTTATGTCACATTATCAAGAAAAGCCACTATAAAATCAAGGAGCTGTTTGTCTTACCTTTTTTTTTTTTTTTCCTATGAGCTAACAATTTGAATTGCATATTTCAAATTGATTTTTGACAATGCATTGAGTAATGCACTTTCATCCTCTGAGAATTGGGAGCAACTAACCTTTACAACTTTTCAATGCATGGCAGATCATTCAGAGAGGAGGAATCCTGATTACAGATAGAAAAAAGGCTGAATTCACAACAAAAGATATTGTGCAAGACCTTAATCGCTTACTGAAATCAAAGAAGGAAGAACAGGTGAATAGTGCAGCATTGCCAGAGATGGAAAAGCAGGTAAGATGTAAGAGCTGCAGCTTTTGATATACACACTTGTTTTAAAAGTGAGACTATGCCAGTTGTTAAAGATTTCCAGAGTGCTCAGGGCACTAGTTGTAGTTCCGTTTGCCTTGGGCTGAAACTTGACTGAAGATCTTGGATCAGTTCTTTAATGCATCCTGCACTGATTCCCTGTTGCATTGAATCTAGCTGAAAGTCTGTCATAACATTTGGAGCCCACAATGGAGTTGGCATTGGCTGCTTTGATAGATTGTCTTTTGATCATTTCAAAGAAACTGGCAGGCTACAGGGAAAGGTTTCTAGTTGCAGGAGCTAGAATCTTCAGATGAGTTGGAATTAAGAGTTGGGATCTTGCCCAGTGGAGTCATAGTGGGGCTCTGCACAAGCAGGGACTGACAAGGAGTCTGTGCCCCACCCCCATTGCTGGACGCTTACAGGCAGCTGTGTCACCCTTACCACTTGGCGGCAAGGGGCTGCCTGCAATTCAGGAACTTTAAGGCTAGGGACAGATATTCAAGCAGCCTGAGCCTGAGTTGATTCAGTCTTTCCAGGTTAGTCTAACCTGGCTAGGCTGAACTGCTTTGTAACAGCACAGACATCCCAGACATGCAGGCACATGCCTGGAGTGGCTCAGGCTAGAAGCTGGGGGGTGCTAGAGCAGCCCTCCTGTCCCTTCTACAACACTTAGCTGGTGGGGGGTCGTGGTCAGACCCCAGCAGGATGATTTGATTAGCTCAGCAGGGAATTGATAACAGTGTTTATCACCCCGTAACTCAGTGTTTATCACCCCATTGAGAAAACAACTGTTGATTCTGCCTGTTGATTCAGCAGGGACCCTAGCCAGCATGTGGTCTGCTAGCTAATACACAGACACCTCTCAACAAGGCAGAGGGGAGGGGGGAATTCCTGCTTAGTAGGGAGGTGTGAGGGAGAGCAGCAGCTTGCAGTCTGTGCTGGAGCAGCAGCCAGGGAGCAGAGGGGAGGGGCCAGCCCTGCTGTGGAGCAGAGAGCCCCACCCAGCTCAGAGAGCATGCCGGGATTCTGGGGATGTCTGGTTTATCTTAAACCAACAACGGATTTGAGACTGACATTGGATGAACTGGTTTGACCCAAATCAGTTAAGTCTGATACTACATTCACCCAGGTTTATCTCAAACCGGTTTCATCTATTTTCAAACTAGTTTATGTGCACTGAATGTCTGTTCTGTTACAGTTTTAAACCAATTTCTGATCACTTAAACCAGTTTGTGTAATATCTGTCCCTAACCTAGAGGACGGGTGATGCTTGAACTGGCTCTTGAAAGGGGGAGAAAGATTTCCTAGCACCTGGCTCTGTCAGGGAACTTCTTTACTCTTTTATTACCTGTGTTTAGGTGGAGATCAACTGGAACTTGTTCTAACTGGAGACAAACCAAAAAGCCCCCCTCCAAAAATGAAATGAAATTAAACTACCTTTTGTTTTAGTACATAAGTACCCCATCCATGCTTAAACATTTCGTATGTTGTGACTTCTGAAGTTTCCAAAAATAACTTCTTAAGGAGCTTATAAGACTTAAAAATAAAAATAAGCCCTGTTCTTTTCTAGATTGGCTGATTTTCGGTTCTGGAAAAAATCCCAATTTAATCTACTGTACTTGACAGTAGAACAAGAAGTCAAGTACTTCAGAAAAAAGTTGGTTCCTTTCCTAAGTTTTACTTTCTCAAATAGGGCTCCTTGGTACAGGTTCATTGCTGTACATCACGTGAAGCAATTGCTAAGACATTCTGAATTTGTAGGTAAAGATAAAATCTTAACAAAGAAGCTGAGTCCAACAGTGGTGTAGTAGAACACCTGCTATGCATGGGGCAGCACTGGCTGCTGCAACATTGATTCTGGGGGTGAGCCACTGCTGTGATGGTGGCTGTTTTTGCAACATCCACAGCTGTGGCCCTGTTTGCTCCTACTCATTTATGCTACTGACTTTTTAAGGCAACGCAACTCTTAGAAGCTGATCTTGGGTATTTTTAATTTTTCAAATGATTTTGCTCAGTGCTTGACTCAAGTGGTAGTTCCCCAATTCCAATTTGCTTTAATAACTTTTTTAGGTTGCCATTTCATCCCTGTCGGCTGTTATCAAGTATTTGGAGCTGTTGTCAGATGAATCCAACTTTGGACAATTTGAGCTGACTACCTTTGACCTCAGCCAGTATATGATACTGGATAATGCAGCTGTCCGAGCCCTTAACCTTTTTCAGGTAAAAACATGTGCTCTGCTTGCTTCCAATTCTTTTCTCATATACGTGCTCACTACTGGATAGAGGCACCCTAGTCATATAAACCCATCCTAGAAATCCTGTGCGCGATGTACCTTCTGTTTCATTTTTACTGTGTGATTCTGTAGGAATGAAATGGGGAAAAACCCCTCAAAAGTAACTCCCACGAGTTTATTAGTCTAGCAAGAAGGCTACAAATACAGGGGTTCTTTGGATGTCCCCAGTATGCAGGACCAGGGGGGTCCAGTAGCGGAAGCTTACCCCTCCCCATATGTACTCTGTTTAGCAGACAGCACCAGAGGAGTCCCTAGCTACAGTGGCTACATTTATTTGCATTAGGTATCCTATATTGCACGTAAGTATGCAGAGGAAAAAGATGCTTGTGATATACCTCATTCCTTCAAATATAAGATGCACTTGTTTAAACAAAGTATTTCTGCAAACAATGGCCTGCATCTTTAATATTAGAGTTTTAAAAAAATAAAAAGCTTTTATTCACCAGAGGGGATTTGGCCTTCTAAATGGCTTTTGACTACTGCTACTTCCCTTCCCCCTTCCCAAGGTGAGTCTTAAATATTGGTCCCTCTTAAATTCAAGCCCATCTTGTATGGGAAGGAATATAGTATGATATTGTTCGTGATCAGGCAGTGATAGGCTGTAAGACAGCAGGCAGTGACAAGTTGCAGATTCCTCATAAATGTTTCCTAAAGAACTGATTAATGTATATAACTAACTGTGGTCAAGTTTGCCGCCTTTTTCTAAATAAATGTCTAAAAAGCTAAGTGTGTTAGACTGCAACTTAAGCTTGCTCTGTGTGTCTTTTTCCCGCTCCTTGATGTTTATGCAGTGGTATGTAAAGGAAAGTTTATATTGGTTTAAATCAAGTGTTTATTAATTTCTTCCTTTCTATTTTCCTGTTACTGGATCCTGTTTGGTGGCTCAGGATAAGGAGATCTATACACAGGTGTTTCAGGCCCTGTGAAAGAAGCCTGGTGAATAGAGCACCCATTCCTTCCGGCCCTCAAATAGCTCCCTGTATATGTAAGATTCTAGGGACTAATGAGCTTGTGTTTGGTACCCAGGCTTGTCAACCAAGAGAAACCTGACTATCCTGTTCTCCTCTTCTGGTTCTGTGCCAGTGTCATGAGAGGGTGACCCTCCTTGCCTTGACTCTTCCAGCTTTGCAGGAATTCTCTGAAATGCTACCTGCTGTACTATTCCCTTCCACTGTGTTCCAGAGGGGGAGCTGTTACATGAGCTACAAACTCTTATAGCATTTAGATTTTAACTAGGAACTAGGGATCTGGAGGATTCTTCCCCTCTCTAACCACTTGAAGATGAACCTGTGGTTGAAGTGAGTATGACATAAGTGAGTAAGATTCCAAATGCAGCTCTGAATACTGAAAGGTAGCTTAGTAAACCAGCACCCTATTCTTGGCTGAAAGAATATAGATTATCCTACTACTTATCCCTGTTAGCATTTCATAGCTAAATCATTTATTGGAGAGCAAGATGGATTCTATTGGCTTGCAGTATCAGAGCTTAGTTAACACTAATTGCAATTAGAATGTTGTATCAGCCAGAAGGAATGCACCTTGTTGAGATTCCCAGTTGAATTTGGATAACTCGGAGAAACTAGTTCTTTGCCTGCAAACAGAACAGACTTGATCCAAAAGCCATTGGGAAATGAAACTTGGGGCTCTTCTGTATGAAAAAGGTCATAAAAAATTATGTTTAAACTTTGAACTGATGAACCTGGAATCTTGTAAATGATGCACTTGTCCTGAAGTTATGGGTAAAGCAATAAAACAGCAGAATGGAGGCCTGGACAGCTCTGCTTTTCTCAGCTTTCTTATGTCAGGGAGGAATTCTGAGCCTCTTGGGATCTTTGTGGGCACTGCACATTAAAGCAGTGCATAAAACCCCTCCCTGCTAATGCGCAGTAGAATAGGCTACTGTCCATTGTCACCTAAAAAGCTTGCACTACTGCTCATTAGCACAGCCTAATGGGCATTTATTTAGTACCTCATATTGGAGGTACCAAATTGAATGCATGTTAATAAAAGTGCATTAATGCATGTGTAGATGTGCTCTGTGTTAGGCAAATCTTTGTCATGATTTACTGCTACACTTACTGCAATATAGCAACTTTAGCTAGGATTGACAGGAGTTGCCAGGTTTGGGTTAAGTAGGTGAAGTGAACTGGAAATAACTCCTTTCCAAGCCTGTTTTTTTGGTTGGTGCAATAACGTACATTTGCAGCGGTGTCATAAGGCTCTCACTACTTTGTCCTTTGGTGCTGTTGCCAGCCTGGGAACAAAGGATCTACCACATGGTAGCAGATTACCCTCTTGCTTCTGTGTGGCCCAACCTAGGCCTTTCCCTCCTGCCTATTTTACTCTGCAATTGAGTCAGTCACTCTGTGAAGTAGGTAGTTTCTGGGTTGGTGTAGGTGATCTACATGGTTCCAGTTTTAGTACATGCTGCCTGAGCTACTAAACAGGAATGAGCAGTTGGTAAGTGGCAGAATCAACATTGCATAGGAAGGAGGTATGAAAACTAGGTATCTCTTCAGCCATATGTTAGTTGACTAAGTACATTTTAAGATCTTTAATTAAATATGATAGAGTAAACATTTTGTATACAAAGTGCCAGTGTCTGCTGTAACATTTGAAGGGTAAACTGTTACACAAAAGGCTTTATGCAGCTGGCATGACTAATCTGAAATAGCATTGCATCTTGGGGTTCTTAGAGCCTGGTAATTCATAGACATACAAAGCACTGGGCTGTTGAATGCTGCATATTGTACTTTTTGTCAAGATTTTCCAGTCACTTAATCCAGCAGTCTACCTGAATTCTACTTCTCCTTATTGTATAATAATTCCTTATCCTTGGTTTTTTGTTATTGAATTTGCATCTTTTAAGTCTGCTGCTTAATTGTAGATTGTCTTGGCTGACAGGTTTTGTATTACTGATTTTTCTGTATTTTCCTTTTTAAACTGCATCAGGGCAGTGCCATAGAAGCCTTTTTGTGTTTAAACTAAGTGTTAACATTTATTGCTTGCTGAATCTTATACAAAGTGCTTAAATATAAAACTTTTGGGTGTATGTGGCATGATGACTGTGGTTAATTGAATCAGCATTCAAATAAAATCAGTACTGAAGTTAGAGCAGAACATGTGGCACTTATGATGCCATCAAGATAAGCTTGTAAAATTCAGCAGAAAAATAATATATAGGCCTTGGGACATTCAGATGTTCTACCAAGTTTCTGTGTTATATGCAGACCCCCTGTATCAGGGCTGTTCAACTTCTGGCTGGTGGCTGGAACTGCACCCTATGGGCACCCTTGCCTGGGCCCCCTCCTCTTCC